ATTACTAAGCAAATCGAATGCATGAAATTTGGGAGTGTGCCAACACCACCAGCCGTCTCACCTACTGTCGCAAACCTAAATACGCGCAACTCAAGACTGCGTAGAGACTTTTGAGTACCTTTGTTAAATGCCTTTGGATGTCTGCTGCACATAAACTAGTGCGGCGCTGCTCTGTCTTGTGGTATTCCCTCGACTGCACTTATACAGTTAGGAAGACTTATTTCTCACTGGTGCTGGAGTTCCCTAAACTAAAGCATCTCCAAGCCTAAATTTGTGCATTGGAGCATTTTTTTGAAAAACTATAAATTGGCAAAATAACTGACAGTCAAGAGGCATTTCATCATTCATAGTTGCCTATAAGACTGTACAGTACCAATTGATAAGACTTTTATCCTTATCTCTTTGCGTTCTTTTAACCATGCCCTTTAAGTGTCGCATCCCTTGAAAGTAGTTGGTACGCAATACGATAACACAATCAGGAACGAAGTTCTAATTTTATAAATGCTGTTACTTACCTTTGCTATTTTCATTGATGCAATAGCGGACGCGTCAATACAAACGAAATCGCTGCGTCATTTACATGGCTAGAATCAAGTGAGTAAAACATAATGGCAATTACCTTTTGCTAACAACATTTTTGTTTTGTGGAGTGATTGGAGCTACTGGTGTTCACACAGTTACTGTAATCCCATAAGCCAAAAGCACCTGTTCAGGAGTCAATGATTGTGCATTTACAGTTGATACTATCATTTTGATGGCACAAATGAGCGTGCATTCCGTTAAGTAAAACTCGTTTGCAGTGAGGTCGCAAAGCGTAATACGTATTTCTCGTATGCTGTTGGCTTTTTGTGGTTTTTTGGTACACGCATTACATTGCATCTTACAATTCATAACTTTTCTATCCACCACCCACAGTTCTACTAAAGGACATGATGTCTTACTTATTTTGTATAAGTAATGATAATATTTCTAACTTTTAGTCCTTTTAAGGTTATCCGACCATATTCGACGCTCTCAGCTTGGAAACCTACCCGAGCTCTAATCAAAATTTGCCCGAAACCTGATCGTCCCTTATTTCCACCTTAACAATATTCGTATTGTGCTACACTACCTCTACCACTTTCCCATTATCCTTTACTAATGAAATGATTTCGTGCAAATGTCGATTTCTGCAACCTTATCTCTACCAGATCAATCATTTGGCTTGCACAGATCAGACTGAATTTTCAAACCTGTCGAATGAGGTAGAACAAAAGTAAAATCACATTTTGTATCAGGTTCCCTAGTTTCAGACTAAGGTAAATGCTGCGTGCCAAAAAATCTCAACTAATTATGCGGACTAATATTGAGCTTCAACAAGGTGCCATTCAACGCCGCTAATTCTTTATAGTAGTATCTGTACTCCCCGAAATTCTTCCGCTATACTGCATTTTATGAAAGTCTAAAATTATGCGAATTCAATCAGCTCAAACGTTGAATTCGCGTTTAACAAATTACCTGAACTAATTTCATATAAACCACGTGATCTGTTAAATAATGTCGCAGCGAGCGCCTTTCGCTTTGAGCGGACTTACGTGTCCTCAGTTTAGGTTGCTCATGTGACAACACCGATCAACGCTAGCCTATTTGACTCCTGCCATACGCACAATTTATTTGCAAATAACGCACCACAGAACCGCGGATCCATTCACGTAAGTCGTCTTAACGACTTGACAACATGAGAGGTTCCACTATTCAAGCCCGGAGCAGCTGGACGGATCGAGCACAATGCACGAGACTAAAAATCTTCTCAGACGGTTAAATGAGATGCCAAATATCTGCATCCTCATGCCTTGTCAATGGACAAGTTGCCCAGCAACCCAAGAATACAACCTACGCTTAATAAGCCACCTTCATTGTTTTCTAGACGATGTTGCTTGAGGCAACATTGGACCTAGTTCAGTTGAGGCCAGCTTCTTGTGCTTCTTCGTTTGCGCTCCATGACCCACACAACCAGAGGCGCAGCACACCACCACGAGGAGAGAGAAGCTACAGTGCTTCTTAAAAAATAGTCAATCACTCTGCCACTTATGTGCGCCTGCATTTTGCTTAACGCTGGCTTGACACTGTTCAGTCAAGACCTCTTTTATCAATTCACTCGAAATTATTATTCCTCCTCCATTGTTGTGAATAATCTCAGCAGACAAACTTCCATGCTCAAATCCACCATGATAATCAATGAGCGTAGCCCACCAAAACTTTTCCGAAGACGAAAGAGAAAATACTAGGTGGAAAAGAACCGGGTGATTACTGAAACAACCTCAGAGGCCAGGTAATCGAGCGAAAACCAAATGACGAAGGCCTAACGCGTGCTCGTAAGGAGACAACGAGGTCTAAAAAAGGTCCAAATTGACGCGACAAAACGCACTGCTGATGCCTTCAAGTTGTTACTACCACATTAAATGTTTGAAATCCTCATTAACACAATGAATGCATCGCCACAAAACGCCCTGTTTGTTCCTTTGTATCCAGACCTTGGAGGAACCACTGACAATCCTAGAGGTACGTCAAGCCTACGTCCATCGGGGATTTGCCTCCCTAGGCTCTGTGAGACAACCCGTTACCCCTCTCCCTTAAGTTCCTTATTATCACCTAGGGCTAATTATTCACGAGTACCAAATCTCGAGAATCATCCTGGGACAACGTTTTCAAATGCTATGCATGGAATTGAATGCAATAGTTTAGACGTAGGAGAAGGACAATTTAGACCAAAGAACTGGAGCAAAGCCTACCAACCAGCGGAATATGTATATAAATAAATCGCGTCCGAGTAACGTAGGTTAGACTCCATGCTGGTGTGTTCACGTTGGTGTTTGGGGTCAAGTCTGCCCTCTGCTACCACATGTAGTTGCGTCATCACAAAGTGAGGGTCATCAGGACCTCAAGCGCGCCCGCTCGATTCACACAAACTACCAAGCATGGACTACGGAGTCCGAATTGAAGCCACCCACACATGCACACCGTTCCAGACTTGACGACAGTCGATGTGTTGCCTTTTGATGGATGATATTCATCGTGTAGCCTAGGCCGTCGACTTCATTTTCTAACAATCGATAGAAATAAAGTAACGCCCAACGCAAGTAAACGTCAAATAAATCTTGAACCGACTCCGTTAATGCTGTTTAGGCTTGATTAAATTCACTTATTTCTAACAGGATATCTTTTCCATTAATTGAATGTCACATTGCGCAAAAGTACAGACGACTTGCCACAATGTACACCATCTAGTAAAATGTTAGTTACAAGTGGCTTCCAAGCTCCAGCACCACAAGCCGTGAATGATGACCTCAAAATATGCATAGCAGAGGCACTCGCCGCATTCCACTCGCCTTTGACAGGGTACGGTTACGGTTACTGACGTCATCCGTCGATCTTCGACCCAATCGTGAAAAGCAGATGCAACCCTCCACCCGGTAGGAGCGACATTCATACATTTGTCATTTCTCCAATCAAGTAAAGCGACCAAAACGGGAGAATCCCAAGAACCTTTCTGAACACTTTTCCCTTCTGTTTCTCAGTTGTTCAATATGCGTTTTCGACATTTGTTTTAGCCACATACCGTAAATGTCGCGGAAATTAAAGCAGATGCCAAATCACAGTCACGAATACGAATTCAACCCTGCGATAGTCCATACACAAAACCCAAATCGAAAGACCACGACCAGGGTCAAATCCTTCTAGCGCCAAGTCGGCAGTACCATTTTAAAGGAAGAAGCCAAACCCGTTGTTTGATAATCTGCTTGTAGCAGCAATAATATACCAAACTAGTCCCTCAAGACACGAAATTTTGCTCAACATTCAATGGGGCGCAATCCAACCTTGTAGTCATTTACTGCAAAGAATTCGCAGTAAACTCTGAATATGTACGATTGATGTCGCCGAACGTTGGTGATCGGTACGCATTCCGAGAAAAAAAAACTACACCAGTAACCATTCCAGCTACAAAGACTGAATCTGACAATTCGTGCTCAGCGTATTTGCAAAATCAGTAAGTGGATTGTCAGTCGAGACGACCCACCTAGGCGGCCCATAGACAGGACTTGAATCATTACTCCATTGGATAATCAACTGCAAGAACACCGGCATGGGTGAAACCATTAACCGTGCGTAGCACTGCACAAACACATGCCACCCCACGAGTGTAAGCGTTCGAGAAAAGACCGCACTAACGCCGCCTGTCGAACCAAAAGCTGCGACCCGCGACCCACTAGTTCCCACTGACTAGAACTACACCCAAGAACTGGTCAAGCCTTTGTGGGCTGCGTAAACCACACACCACCGCAAAAATGAAATCCTCGACCAGACAGTGACCCCGTATCACGGTTGACGTTGATTCTCGATACCGCACCCCGCGTGTCCCGCACACAGTGAGTAGGCAGAACCACCCAGGCGAAGCAACCATTCCAACCAACACAGAGAACAACCCCAGAGACGAACAAAACCTTCTACCTTGACGCAGATAACTCCTCACCAGTCATCAGTGTTCAGCCACCTAAAGTACCAGTCATGGCACCAAAGCAGGTAGCATAAGCCTCACCACACCTTTCCAGATAGGAAGGGTGAATAGGGCGAGCACGACGAATCGGGCCAACAAAGCTAAAACGCACCACACTCCGAAGCTTATCGCACACAACCCGTCCCAGATCGAGAAAATCACCGACGACCTGCACCACACTGCATACCCGCACAAAGTGGCGGCGCACCGCCAATGACGCCTTCAAAAAGGTTCTCGAAAAACTAACGCATCCAAGTAAGGGTTTGTTAGCACTACATTTAAGATAGGAGAAAGAGTAGTATACTACAGGTTTGGGCGCACAATCAATCAACACTAGGACTTGCGGAGTCGTAATATTGCAAAGCTTTGGCCCATTTAAACCGGAATTGCTTTGGACAACGATAGCATGGAAACTAAAGAACGTTCATTTTTAAAGTTGAGAAAATACTAGATTTACCTTGACCGTCTAGTAGGAACGGATCTTTGGAGGCACGGTGGGGCAAACATTCTGATCTAAGGTCTTGTCGATCACGGGTCTGTACTCAAGTTTAACCGCACCGGTTTTGATGTTTTGGTAGCTCATGGTGTGCTTCCTCCAGTGTTCAGTCATCGGCTTCTTGGTTTGACCTTCTATAGGCTTTGAATAGTCATATTCATCGATTCTCTGCTTGAAGTCCTCACGAGCATGTGCACCCCGAGATTCTTTCCTAGCCTCTGCGGCAACAATCGTCTGTACGGCATTGATGAGGAGGTTCTGAAGTTCAATGCCTTCAATCAGATCCGAGTTCCAAATAAGACTCTTATCAGACACCTTAAGATTGTCGTATTTGGTAGCGTAGAGCTTCAACATCTTTTCAACGCCAGCCTTCAACACAGGACCGTCCCGAAAGACGGCAGCGTGCTCCTGCATGGTACGTTGCATTTCGAGGCGGACCTGAAGGAGACTCATAGTACGATAGGCCGAAAAGCACGGATGACATGCCTTGAGAACTAACTTACATCGCTAACAGGGAACTGGCCTTTTCCACTGCGGAGCTTATCGATGTTGGCGACCGACTGCATGCCAGTTTCGGGATGAAGCTCGGGACCAGCATCGCCTGGTTTGCACTTCTCAGCGATATCCAAAGCGCAAGCGCGACCAAAGACGACGATATCGAGAAGCGAATTCGCACCCAAACGGTTTGCGCCGTGCACCGATGCGCACGCAACTTCACCAGCGGCGTACAGGCCAGGAACAATTCTATCCTTTCCAGTGGCAGCGTCATAGCTGATGACCTAAATAATGGAAACGCAATGAACCCGAACAGTGAATGATCTCAACTAGCCGATTGCTCTTAACCCTACCTGGCCCTTATAATTCGTCGGCACACCACCCATATTGTAGTGCACGGTTGGAAGAACGGGAACTGGCTCCTTTGTCACATCAACACCGGCAAAAATCTCAGCAGTCTCGGAGATACCAGGCAGTCGGGATTTTAGAATTTCGGCAGGCAAATGATGCAGCTTTAAGTAGCAATGATCCTTACGAGGACCTACACCGCGACCCTCGCGGATTTCAATAGTCATAGCACGGGATACTACGTCTCTCGAGGCTAAGTCCTTTGCATTGGGGGCATAGCGTTCCATAAATCGCTCACCCTCGCTGTTGATCAGATAACCACCCTCGCCACGGCAACCCTCGGTGATAAGGCAACCAGCGCCATAGATACCTAGAGAAAAGTTACTGTTCTAACATGTTCTTTAATTCCAAAAAAAACAGAGGAAGCAGGCATACCAGTTGGATGGAACTGCACAAACTCCATGTCTTCGTTGGGAAGCCCGGCACGAGTAACCATAGCAGTACCATCACCAGTGCAAGTGTGCGCCGAGGTACAGGAGAAATAGGCGCGACCATAACCTCTACAGAGGAACTTCAGCAAATTTAACAGGTGACACATACCCAGTGGCGAGAATAGTATTTTTTGCACGGAATCGATGGATTGTTCCATCCTCCAGGCAAATCGCGTTGACTCCGCGGCATACACCGTTTTCCATTAAGAGATCTAGCGCGAAATATTCAATGAAGTAATCGGTTTCATAGCGAAGCGAGCGACCGTAGAGAGTGTGAAGAAGCGAGTGTCCTGTACGATCAGCAACGGCACAGCACCGATGAGCTTGGCCACCTTTACCATAATCCAGACTTTGACCACCGAATGCACGCTGATATATTTTACCATTCTCCAATCTACTAAAGGGCATTCCGTAGTTCTCCAACTCGATTACGGCCTTAGGGGCTTCTTCGCACATGTAATGAATGGCATCCTGGTCACCAAGCCAGTCCGAACCCTTCACCGTATCAAACATGTGGAACTTCCAGTGATCTCGTTCCATGTTTCCAAGAGCAGCATTGATACCACCTTGAGCAGCAACTGTATGGGAGCGCGTGGGGAAAAGCTTGGTGACGCATGCAGTTTTGAAGCCTTCGTTAGCCAAGCCGAAAGCAGCTCGAAGACCAGCACCACCAGCACCAACAACGACGGCATCATACGTGTGGTCAATAATCGTATAATCCTTCCCTACTGTTGAAACATGCCGAGAAGCCCCTGTAAGAGTAGATGCACATCCAAGCCGCACTGCGGCAGACGCGAAACCAGCTCGAAGCATGAACGCCATTAGGCTGCACGAAATCTGGCGCTAGGGAAAGCGACACCATTAAAGGAGTTCATAGACATAAACAAATAACATACAAAATTAGAGCAAATTGGAAGTGAAAATAATTTAACAGTTAAAAGGATTTGGTTGTTGGCGAAAACTTACGCAAAATTGATATTAAATGCAGCATATACTTATTGAGATAACCTCGCAAAATAAATGTTTAGTAGCTGGTATTTGTAAAGATAGCCTGCAAGAACGATCAAAAGATTTTCTAAAATCTTGCATCCATTATTAAAACTAATGATCACGTGTCGATCCCTCTGTGTCACCAGAATGTATTAGCATTGCATGATTTAGTGAGTCATGAAGCCTAAACTGTCTGTTTATTGGTTCATGCGGATCTGCTCTCTTTCACTCTATTCCGCACGCCCACCTTGGAACTAACATTGCTAATATTCTATGACAATAACATAGAGAATGATGCCAGGGAACCAAAATTCCACTCAGGACCAAAATCAGGGACGGGCCACTGTCCCGTATGCGAGGAGATCCGTTGTGTCATTTCCGACACCTAAACACGGGTTCTGTATGGAAAATTCCCACGTGAAACTTTTCCAGATATTTCACGGCGGTGTCGCTTCAGTTGTTAATAACTTGTTTGTGAAGGGTCCAGGGATCCTCCGTCATCAAGGTAAATGCGCCCTCTTCAATTCACGTCCCGTTTTCGCCTGTATCTTTATCTACTGCACTTCGGTAGATAGAGTCAGACTTCCTTCTACGCATGTATAGCTCATGATTGCCAGAATGCGCTTCTTA